AGTGGTGGTGAACTCTGGCTTAGCCCAGGAGGTTCTACCTGATATGGATTTTGAGAAGTTCTTTGAGTGCAAAGGGGTTGATTATTCTGGTGAAGAGGTTCAGGTGGCAAGACGGTTTCGTTGGCACATGGTAGAGGCCGCATTTCCGGAGGCGGTAGGTTCGCTCGATCTTGAAGAGTTTTGTGAAGGGGGCACTCTTGAATATGTCCGGAACTTCGAGTCTTTCATGCTACCTGTTGAGGACCAATATGTGGGAAAAAACGCCAAGCATCATGGTGGAGCTGGAGCACTGGTCGCAGGTGTGCTCGGGTTTGTTGCGACGTGGGGTGTGTCGGGCCATGCATGTCTCCGAGATTCATCACGTTGGGGGAAAACCCTTGCTTAACGGGCTATTTGCAGTAGGCAAGAATGAGACCGCCATAGACGAGGAGGGAGAGGAGTTTGAAGTTTGTCGCCTTATCATGAACCTAGTCCCAACAAATAGTTGCTGCCGAAGTCTGACAGGAGATACTTCTACCCTACCTAGTGTGGTAGGGATGTCGTCTATTGTTCTGGAAGATCACCAGCTGTTGGTAACATCTTCTGAAGACATTCGGTGCTTTTTCTATTTGTTCCGGACCCCTCCTTCATACCCGCTGAGGCTCTCCCAGCAGGCTGTTCTGGTGCCGGGTGGCATTTGGTCACTCAGGTGTTGCCAATGGGGTTTATTAACTCGGTGGCCATTGCTCAGCACATACACCGCCGGGTGATCAATGAGGCACTGAAGAGCGACCGTAGGCTAGCCTCTGGACATCAGGAAATTCGTCGGGATCGCCCCCATAGCAGTGCCCCCCATCTGTTTTGAGTGTACCTGGACAACTATGATGAGTTGAGAAAGGTTGACAAGGCCCTTGCCGCGACCATTGCGGGCACTCCCTCGGCATGGACGTTGGCCGTGCGTGCCACCTATGAAACCCTGGGGCTACCAAGACACCCGAAGAAGGCAGTCACTCAGGAGGCAAAGGCAGAGGTGCAAGGTGCATGGGTTGATGGGGTTCTGGGGCATGCGACCCCGAAGGTGGAGAAGATCCTGAGGTACGTGAGGTTAGGCAATCATCAAGGGAAAGGCATCGCAGCGAGAATTGCAGGTCATTGGGGGTGGCTTCGTGTATATGGCGATGTTCCGAAGGCCGTTGTTGGCAGGCCTCAATGCAATCTGGAGGCGGATTGTTGAGCTAGGAGCCGGAGGAGGCCGGCGTCGAGAGAAACTCGGATTTGAAGTCGTGCATGAACTGTTGAGGTTTGTTGCGCTGACTCCGTTGGCCTACATGGACTTCCGGACCGGGATCTCGGAGAAGGTGACGGCCAGTGATGCGTCGACAACTGGTGGTGGCTTGTGCGTATCTCGTGAACTGAGCCCATATGGCATCGCCGCTAGTCTAGCCACATGTAGGGGTGATGTGATCACCCAGGATGAGGTTGGTGCGATTCTGGTAGTTTCCTTGTTCGATGGCATAGGAGCCCTTCGAGTAGCAGTGGACGCCCTACGGGTGCCTGTCGCCGGCTATGTCAGCGTTGAAATCTGCTCTGAAGCACGACGTGTTGTTGAGAGCTGGTTTCCAGACGTGGTGCATGTGGAGGATGTTGCAAAGGTAGGAGTTGAGGAGGTGCGTGAGTGGTGCTTGCGTTTCCCCGGAGTTGTGGCCGTTCTTCTGGGAGCCGGGCCGCCTTGTCAGGGCGTATCAGGACTCAACGTCGATCGACGCGGGGCCCTTCGAGACGCGCGTTCCAGTCTGTTTGCGCACGTTCCCAGGGTTGAGGAGATCCTTCGGAGGTGGTTCACCTGGTGTCCGGTTTTCACCCTGATTGAGAACGTGGCATCCATGGATGCTGGTGATTGTGGCGTGATGAATGCTGCGTACGGGCTTGAACCATGGTTGGTCAATGCGTCAGGAATCTCGTTAGCGCGGCGTCCAAGGCTGTATTGGTTCAATTGGGACCCAAGGCCAATGGTAGGGTTGACAGAGTTGCGCGTTCCGCCCCGAGGGTTGCCTGTGAAGGGTGAACTACAGCTCAAGGCCGTGTTGGACACCAAAGACTTCTTGGAACCCGGTTGGAAACGTGTTGAGGGAAACGGGCATTTTCCTACCTTTACGACAGCACGACCTTCGCCTACGCCCGGACGCAAGCCGGCTGGGTTGCCCCTGTGTCCGCCGGATGCTGTGCAACGTTGGCAAGCCGACCAACATCGCTTCCCGCCTTATCAATATCGAAGGGAGAACTGCGTGATCAACTCCCAGTCCCGGTTGCGAGTTCCCAGCGTCGTTGAGCGAGAGGCCATTTTAGGGTTTCCAACAGGCTATACCACTAAGTGCCTTCCGAAAGCGGACTACAACACAGAAAAGTGGTCGGATTGTCGCCTCCGGTTGTTGGGCAATAGCTGGTCTGTTCCTGTGGTTGCCTGTTTGCTCCATTGCCTTTTCTTGACGTTGGGCCTGGTTGATGAGCTTAGTGCCGATGACATTGTCAGACCGTTGGCACCCGGTAAATGTGACGATTTGCCAGGTTTGTTGATGAGGCCGCCGCTCAGGCAATCCACAAAGGCCGGGGCGACTGAAGGCGGCCTTGCGCGTAAGTTGTTGGGACAAATTTCCGTCAAAGGTGAAGACATTCTTCTTCAGATGTCCACAGATATTCCAGCGCGTTACCACCGCTTGAGAGCATCTATCCCTGGAAAACTGTGGCGGTGGCGTGACGTTGTTGGGTGGCGTTGGAAAGGAGAGGCTGAACATATCAATGCGTTGGAGTTGAGGGCAGTGAAAACTGCTCTAGTTTGGCGCATCAAGGAGCTTCAAGAAAGTGATGCTAAATTCCTTCATTTGGTGGACTCGTTGGTGGTACTCCATGCCCTGTCCAGGGGCCGTTCCAGCAGCAGGAAACTTCGGAGGACGTTGGCTAAGATTAGTGCGTTGATGCTTGCAAGCGGCCTTCATGGCGCATGGGGATACATTGACACAAAGCAAAACCCGGCGGATAAACCATCCCGCCGGCCTGTGCGTAAGGGATGGCTAAAAGCAAGAAGAAAATAGTTGAGGGTCGCAGCAAGCAACAGCGCAAAGCAGTTCGCAAGAACTTAGGGAAGCTCAAGGATTTAACTGTTCAGCCTCGGACCAAACAACGTTATGAACTTTGTCTTCAGCAGTTCTTTGACTGGTTGACAGGGGAGGGATTGACTCTCCCAAAGCGCGTCACTGACATGGACCTCCTTGTGTCCGATTACCTGGAGCACTTGTGGGCTACCGGAGAAGGAAAGTCAGTTGCCAACAACACCCTCGCAGCCCTTCAGGACCGTGACCCGAATTTGCGTCGGAAGCTCCCAGGAAGTTGGAGACTCATGAAAGCTTGGTTGACAGCGGAGATCCCCAACCGAGCGGCGCCCATGACTCTGGCGTTGTTAGATGCTTTGTGCGGATGGAGCGTCATGAAGGGGTGTCCTGAATTTGGCCTTTCTCTGAGAGTAGCCTTCTTTGGGTTGCTTCGCACGGGTGAGCTTTTAAAACTCCAGGCCAAAGACATTTACATCACCAGCCCTAGAGGGCCCGCGGTCCTCTCCTTGGGCCTGACGAAGTCAGGGGCCCGACAAGGAGCTGCCGAGTCTGTTACTCTACATGATACTTCCGTTTTACCGTCTCTCTACCACTGGAAACAACAGTCACAAGCCCATGCATACCTCACCGTCAAGCCGCATGCTTGGCGACGCCTGTTCAATCAGGCCATGGAAGGACTGGATCTTTTATCTTTTGGTTACAGGCCCTACTCTCTTCGGAGAGGGGGGGCAACGTTCTTCTTTCAACACCATGGTAGTTTCGACAAATTGCTTGTCCTTGGGCGGTGGGCAGCCGCAAAAACTGCCCGTATATACATCAACGAGGGTTTAGCCCAGATGTCCGAAATCAGTGTCCCTAATTCGCGATTGCGGTACTACCAGTCTTTTTATGTCAAGCACCCGATCCTTGAGCCTGGGCCCCGGAAGGCGCCCAGGCCAGGGGGACGTGGAAGGGTTCGAAAACACTGAGATTTTTCGCTCGAGGGTGGAGGTGAGATTGAAAGAAACCCTCAAAGTCTACCTGTTATTCAAGGGGAAAGGAAGCAGGTAGACCTCATGGCCGCTGCCGCCAAACCGGCGCTCCATGAGCTCGAACACATTTGAGAGGGGGCACAGGGGGGCACCCCC